TTAGTTTGAGCAGCAGAGTCATATGAATGTTAAACTATGACTGGAAAATCTATAAAGCCATCATTTTGGCTTTTTAATAAATGTCTAGCCTTTTGTAATATTTTCAAAATGAAAAGTAATGCATTTATGAATTCCCTGGCACGTTCTGCAGACAGCAAACAATTTCCTATGCTGCCTCGATGCCCTTCGGACAGGGATTAGAAGGCAGGCGACTAACAGAGGCCTGGCTGAGCTGCGGGCCCTCTGGGGCCCTGCTCATCCAGGCCTGCACAGCCCTCATCCTCATATCCACTCTGCATCACTGGGGCAATAACTGTCTTTATTAAAAGCGCATTGCTGCAGCGTCTTGTCCATACAACTTACTCTCAGATTGCCCGTAATGTGGCATGTAGAGAGGGTCTGGTGGTTAAGGGCTACAATATCCTGTTTCTGGAAAGGTTTACTTTGCATTTTAACAAGCATGAATAAAAGAAGGACATTCCAGAAATGGCTACCGTCTGTTTTGCTGTTGCCTGTGGGGAGCAAAAGCTCAAACTATGAACCTCGCATGCCACCAGAGCATGGCCTGGCTCACCTCTTAAGTTACCCAGCTTTCACAGCTGCAGCATTGCCACAGGTCAAGTAAACAGTATGATAAGAGAAGAAAATAACAGTCTTGTTGCATAATAGACAAGATCCAGAAAATTATGGTTTTTTTGGATACTAGAACTGACTTACAATTTTGACAAACTGGATGTCAACTCTTCTAATTTACCATTGCTAAATCATACTTTCTGTGCATTATTGGACCTTTTTTACACATTACTGAAAAGCTGTCAGCATTTTCTTAATTGTGCAATAGGAAGAGAGGAAGGAGAAACGCCTCTGTTTTCAGAACAGGCCTTGCTATTAGATGACTGACCCTGAAAGTGCACCCCTTTTAGTGAAACAAGCACTGGATCTAATATTAGATGCCCCTATTATGCAGTCATTTGTATACATCCTTTGCCTTATTTTCATTTATTAATTCACACAGTTTCACTGGCCAGTTTTTACCAACTGGTAATTAAAAAGCAATGCTGATCTAAACTGGAAGTTTAAATACAAAAATCCACGCAGAGTTTGTTGAAAGAACAGCAAAAGCAAATAACCTTGCCCCAAAACAGCCCTTGTTCTAGAAAACACAGGTTTCTATGTCCACACAGACAGGGGACAAGAACTGGCTGCCCAGGCGGCCCCAGCTTCGGTCTTCTCCCTTCCCAGTCTCCTYGACTCACAGACAGGGATTTCCTCCTGCGATGAGAGCCAAGCCGTCACAGCCCAGCGATCAAGAGCTTGCCATCTGTGACTGAGGCAGATTTACAGCAGGAGCTAATCCTCACTGTCAGACACGTTTGTTATCCATCTCTGCTCCCGCGTACACATACGCCACAACGGGGAAAATAAAAAATAAAAAAACTAACATTTTACTATTCTCAAACGCCTTGCAGAGCTGTTTTACCCTCACATCGTCTCTGTCATATACACAAAGAAACAAAGCAAACACTTCCCAGAGAACTGCATTTATTCTTCAGTTGTGTTTCACATTGTCCTTTTTAAAGTCCTGCTCTCATTTTGTTCTTTACTAAAAAAAAAAAAAAAGGACTAGATCAGAAAAAGGCTTTAGATGATTAAATACTGAAAAATGAGAAACCTCAATGTGTCACTGAGTTATATGCCCTGGTGAACATCATTCAAAAGAAAACAGGTCATCCTTAACTCAAGTGTCAAAATTATTCTAACGTGGGAGCTCCCCAAACTTGTCCTGTATCAATTTCTGTCTACTCTCTTACTGCTGGTGCCCTGTTCTCTTTTGTGCACATGAAGCCTACATGTTCTGCCATCAACACCAGTAAGGTCACATTATTAAACTTATAAACCTAAAAACATATTTTACTTTCCTTATGTCAAATCATCTTTGATCAAAAACAAATATTTCCACCTTCACTGTCACCATGTTTTACATGCATCTACTAGCTCAGGGGTCTGCAACCTGCGGCTCTGGGGCCACATGTGGCCCTTTGGTCCCTCTTCATTGGCTCTTTGACAATGACGCCAAACATAACACAACTTTATTTTTTATTTTTATTTTTATACGCACAACAGAAATTATTTCTATGCAAATATGTGATCAATACTACTAATACAAAAAGTAAAACATGTTGATTAGCTCATGATAGCCTGCTGTTTACTTAAATAATCTAACTTCTTTTTATGATCTTTCTCTCAACTCCATCAGAATTACCTTTAAAGAATTTGAAGACTACATAATAATAAGACTTAGAAAAAAAACATGCCTGAATAGTTCAGTTGTACTAGTTTTTATGAAATTTGGTATAAACTATTTACAGATTTTTTAAACATGAATATAGTCTTTTCATTTGTCCTGATGTGTAAAATAATAATAAATAATAAAATTTATAATATGGCCAGAAAGGTTCCCGAAAAGGCCTTGAAAAGGCCCATGGACCACCAGTTGATAATCACAGTTGTAGCTTGTTTTTGCAGCTCTGGACATCTTTTATTAGTGCATCAAGTAGCAGAAATGGCTCTTTCTATTGTGAAGGTTGCAGACCCCTGTACTAGCTGGTAATAAGCTGCTGTCCTTAAAACTACATGTTAGTATTGCTGTACTAGTTTAGGCTGGAGCCGAGTTTTATTCAATGATCTCGACACACACAGCAGCTGTGTGGGGTTGAGGTCCCTCTGAGACCCCCTTTGTTTCCCCACAGATAAAGGGTTAAAGAAGACAAATGGAGGTGGGGCCACGGAGCAACATGCCTAAGCAGCACATTTATACTATGAGCACAAATTAAAACAATGCAGGCTTTTTTTTGTCCCTGCATGGTCTAATTAAAGAGAAACTTAATTTCTGCTGCMCTTGCTCTCCTCAGACTTCCAAACCCCGAGGAGATTTGAGGCACCAAATCCCTGCAGTCTGAATGTGCTGCGTCCTCATGAGAAACAATGATATGCAAAGTTTTAAAACATTAAAAAAACATGTTTAACATAGGGGAGGATTTCATTTCAACTGTCAATAAAAATTCAACGACAGGACAGATCCAATATGTCAGCTTTTCTTTTTGGGTGGTGTGAGGCAGAGGCAAATGTGATGTCATTAGAAAAAAAGACAAAAGGTCAACAATAAGAGCATCGTCGTAAACATTAATAGGTGACCCAAAAATTCAGGAGCAACTTTGTTTAACAAACTAGAGAATGTTCTGCCACTTTAGCAAATATTACTGAGAAACAGCTTTAGCCTGTGCCTCAGAAGAGCTACAGAGGAAATTAAACATTTAGCCCTAACTAAGAAGGCGGGGCTGTCAGGCTGACCAACACAGCTGATGTTGTACTGGTGTGAAATGGACAAAAAAAGGAAAAAAAGTGTTGAATTAGCAGTTTTTATGTTTTGGGGATGGTTGAGTCAAAATGCTGATTCAATGTCTCTATAGACCAATGGAAACGCTGCTGATAAGAACATAAAACAAACAATTATGTATCATAATCAAATGTCTTTTTGAGGAACTGGATAGAAWATTTGAAGCTGTATAAATTCAAGTTATTTTATACTGCAGTGACGGAAGCCTCTGAATTATAAAGATTATGTTAGAGAGCAATGGTCTGTTCGAGTAAGTGAGTGTTTGTGTAATTTGATAAAGTTCTGCAGGGAAGAAAGCTTTTGTGTGTGTATGTGTCTGCGCGCATGTGTGTGTAATGATACTCATGCACAGCCCCATTGTGGGGGCACACTGCCGAAATCTTGGATCCCTTAATTGCGGGCAAACAAATGTGTTTCGAAAACCTAAAAAAAAAGTTTTAAGAAAAAAACTCAACTCTTATCTACGCTTTAGTAAAAACACTTTTAATAAAGAACATTTGCAAACAACACAACTCTTCATCTCTTTTTTTTAAAGAAAAGAGAATAAAAAAACCTCCCAACCCCCATCCCTTTTAACCTAAATGGCCCTTCCTTTTGCCTTTGCATGTTCGCTTGTCCACTGTACTGTAGTCATTAACATATTTGGAGTGCAGTGAGCAGAAAGCTTAATTGTCCCTAATTGCTCAGCTAAATATGTTCTCTAATGATTTGCTTCAGATCTGTGACTGCCTTTTGCGCAATTTCCCGGCCGCTGGCTTCATTATCCCTGCCTCCTTGGAACAAAGCGTCTTCACAGGCTAGCCTTTTTTTTTCTACCACATAACACAGACAGCGAGTATGTGTGTGAGGGAAGTAATGGTTTCTTCTTGGACAGACACACAATGGAGGCCCTTTGTCAAGGCGCAGAAGTTAAAGTGATTAGAAAACCAAATCTCTACTAAGAAAGCGTGTTAATTGACCGCAGCTCACTCTTCCTAATCAGTCCATAATAAATGGACAGTAGAGGCACTTTGTTTCAGCCATGCTGCAGTTGTGGCAATGCCTGTTTTATTTATTTATTTATTTATTTATTTATTTATTTATTTATGTATTTATTTATTTTTGGTGTTGCTGCTGCAGTTGTTCAGCTCCTCCTCCTGTGGAATTAATGCCTGTTCTCAATCTGCCTTTAATGGCTAAAAACAAGCAGCTTCCATTAACAGGGATTTCTGCCTTTACAAAATCATATTTGTGACAAAAAAATTTTAAATAAACGTTATGTGCATATTGCTTATTTTGCCACTTGGTTCAATTAATGTAAAAGGCATGCTTAATGTTGCTTAAAAGCACGGATATCCAAACAAACCAAGTGTAGAAAAGAAGCAATACATAAAAACCTTTTTTGTTGATGTTTTTTTTTTAGAGCCAGATGTGATTTATTGACGATGATATTAACTTTATGAGAAAGTCCATTAAAAAAAGTGAAAATTAAGAATGCAAATTGTGACAGCTGATGCATGGAGCTTTTAGCAGAACTAACACAGGAGAGATCACGTGTATAACAGACAAAACGAGTAACAAGAAGTCATACGCACGTAAAAAGCCACAGGGATCATGCTCTGACCTGTATCTGAAGTAGGGCATTTGCGGATGGTGAAGATCGAGCCGAGGTCTTCCTCCTCCTCTGGCAGGCCCTTCTGCAAGCGCTGGAGCTTCCTGAGGCTCTCGCTGCGCTGGTGCTTCATGGAGCGCACATGTTGGATGAGGTTGAGCTTGGCCTTGGTCGAGTAGTTGCACAGCACACAGTGGTAGTAGCAGGCATCGCCCTCCACGGCGTTTTCGTGCTGCTGCAGGTGCTGTGGGAGGGAATGGAGAGAGAGAACGAGAAAGGAGAGGAAAGAGAGAAGTTATTGTAGATGGCAGATAGCTGGCTAGGCACCACCGACTCCCTTTCACTCACACAGTTGGCAAATGAACAAATCAATTCCCAATCACAGCCCCGTTGTTTAACATCCAGACCTCTTCCTCTTCGAGACAACTGTTTGGACTGCACACTTGTCTGTGTGAGTGTCTGTATTGCGGGCTAACAGGACAGGGGAGGCCAGGGAGACACGCGAGTCTCAGGGGGCCCAAGGGTGGGCAGAAATCACATCAGCCATCCTTCAGAGGCCGTGGGTCTGCAGCTTCACAGACGGAAGGAAGCATTGATCCCCTTCACTCAACAGAAGCTTCCCGTCTCTGAAAAAGGAAACTCCAAACATCTGCCTGTTTCACGCATGGGATACTAAATATTGATCATGGCGAGTTAAATTCTCGCTCTCACAGAGGAAAAAAGCGGCAAAGCCAGCCTGCGGCGAGGCAGGAGGGGACTGAAGGCATTCTGAAGGAAAACAGAACGTTCCACAACAGGACAGCCGTCAGGAAAAAAAAACAGGAAATCAGCATCAGTATTGACCTCCAGACCTAACAGCATGCCTTGTCTAGCCTTCAACCCACCCTGTGTAGTGTCACAACGTGCGTAACACCCTGTAGTGACACCATGCCACCACCTCTCCTCGCACCACCAAGCTCCAGTCTAATTACCTCCTGCATGGCTCAATCAATGATGCAAGGGCAACACAATATGGCCAGGCCTGCTATGAGCAACAGAGGTATTGACCATCATCCAAAGCATCACACTGATACATGTATACAATAAAAGTCCCTCACTCTCTATGGTCACTTGTGTCGTGCCTGTCATTYTCTGCACTTGTATGAAACTGGGAAGGCTCGCTGTGGGTTTCTGTGGCAAAAATCAATGTCAATCACTGAAAGTTTTTCCTCTTTCCCACTAATTTTCTTTGATGCCTGCATATAACATGAGGCATGCTGAGAGAAAGGGGAAAGAAAATCTGCACATCGCAGGGTGGAAWAAATGTGCACAGTGTGCAACAAATATTTTGGATAGACATGAATACTTAAAACTGACTAAACAAGCATAATGATTACTATAAATAACAGAAAACAATAATAATATTTAATAGTGAATAATAATAAGGTTTATAAGCAAATATTAAAATCATCACCTGCAACAAAACATTAAGTCTATTTTTTATTTTTTTCCCAGTAGTACACATAAAACATTAATTTATTTTACCTTAACACACTTTTATTTTCATAATCAGAAGTTTGTTTTATTTATCAAAAAGAAAAAGAAAAAAGGACAAAGCTGTCCTCTACTGCAGAACATGACCTGGAAGGCTGGAACACCTAAAAGCAGTGGAAACATTACACATTTAACMACATTAATTCTAAATCAGGTGTTGACAGCCTGGTGTAAAAAAAAAAAGCCGTAATAATATTATGCCTCCCCAAAATGCTCTTGTCCCTTTCTCCTAATGTTTAATTTTCTGGCAATATTGTTATATTGCCATGGGGTTTTCTGCGCTATTGTGTTTCTTTCTCTTTGGTTTCACATTTCTCAGTTCTACACCTAAAATGTGCATTAAGACACCGCTTCCAGGAACAGAAATGGGAGWGTTTTTTTTCCTCTTTGTGAGCCCCACAGCTTGGTGTAATAGAGTTATTAGGTGATTGTAAAAAGCTCTGCGTGCTCTCCTTTCTCGCCTCGTTTTAAGCCGTCCATGATGTCATGCATAGGTGTTGCTGGATATCATGAAGGCCCTCCTCCCTCCCCTCCTTCTTCACTGTGCACAAATATTGCATCAGAAGAAAGGTAGAGGGAAATCTGAGACAGATTCAGTTATAGATGACAGCAAATCAGTCAAATTGCTTTTAGTCACAGCAGATGTCTTGAATTAAAAAAAAGAGCTGCTGCTGCAAATGACTCAAGGCTCCAAAAATCTATGAGAAGACAAGTTTAAAAAAAATGACAGCACCTGACGGAAACTTCAAAGCCAGTCTCATGAGGTAGGAAAAAAATCCTTGGAGTTTTATAGTTTCCCATAAAAAGCACAGGGTTTATATAGGAGTCAACTGGAGACTGCCTGCCCTGCGATCGACCATAATTTACTATAAACCTGACTGGTCAGGGAGATGGCCTCAGATGGGGCCAAAAGCGGTCTGCCCCAGCGCTTGTAGCTCTATCTACTATGTCAAATGATTGCACCTGTAAAACAACACTTTCACCAGCTCAGCACCGGCCATGACCCACGGCAGTCTGGGGCGTATTAGCGTTAGTGAAACAGAGAAGAGATCATACCGATGGAGATCGAGGCGATCCTTGCTCATTCAGTATTCAAGACAGGGGTGGGGGGTGGGGGGGCAACACGATGCACAGAGACAACAGCATCTCTCTGATCATCACACACACAGAGTTTCTCCAGTGATTCTCAGAGGATCGGCTCAAATGATCAGCATTTGAAATTTCTAGAATCACACCGAAAAGCACAAACACATATTGGATGAAGTKTTCTCCCAGGAAAGCTCCTTCCCACATGTTTTTTTTTTAAAACACATGCACACTTTGAATGTGAAACATAATAATGCATGAGACGGGACTTGTGTCTGTTTCCTATGAACCTGCAATGAAGTCCCTGGTTGATAAATCACCTCCAACTGGAGCGAAGGAATTTGGTGCCTTAATGAAAAAGTCATGTTGGGCTCTGAGGAGCTAGTCTGCTGGGCTCTAACTGCCCTACCAAGGCCCCAACRGGAGGGGAGCTGTGGAGCAGAGGGGGAGGGAGGGGGAGGGGGGGCTGACTACATCTGTCTCAATGTTTTTAATACCACTTAACTGTCTTGAAATTTATAGCAATTATATAGTAGATTCAGCTGAGAGAGTTAATGTGTGTGACCGCCTATATTTTAGTGTTACAGTCAACAAAATGGAGACATGCTGTGGGCTGTTGCTTATGTGAGGTCTGATTAAACAGTTAACATTGATGTGTTGGTTGAAAAATACTATGCCAGAATTAAATGAAGGTTGCCAGTTGTAGGATATAAATATGGTTTACATTGAGTAAACCATATTTAACTACAATTTGTAAATAAAATCCTGAAAAAAAAATCTAATGGAAAGTTCGGAAAGCTTGATGTTAACATGTGGTAGTTTTTATGGTTTAAAACAGCAATTGGGTCGTTTCAAGCCTCTCTCTACGATGGAGGACCTCATCTCTTGTTGTGGAGGCTGAAGCAGTGCTCAGTGCTTTTTTACATAAAGAGGGACAGGGGCGGTGTGGGCATCACCCCATCATCTCCATATCACAACTCTTCACTGCACCTTGGCCTCTGAGTGGGCAATGCTCGCCTGTATCAGTTTCGACACCCACCCAGAGTGTGGCATAACATCTGCGTTTTCAGCCACTTAAACGCAAAGTAAAAGTGCACCTTTAACACAAAACAGTGTGGTTTCTGAGAGACTCCAGTGAACACCGGGTTAAGGGGGTATTACTGGAAGGGTGGAAGGGAGAAAGAAAACCGGTAATTTCAAAGAATGGCTCCCAAAGGAGCTGATGATACAATGCGCAGCAGCAACAAGCACATGCAAAAATATAGACAAAAATATCCCACATGTTTGCACACAGACATGGACAAAGACACACACATACGTAGACACATGCCATTACGATCATAGCCTAATTTCCACCATTAAATTTGTCAGTGCTGTTAATACAAAATTAATGCATTAAAACAGATGACTATCTGTGAGCTAAATAGCTATCAATTCCATGAGAGCTGCCAAATTCCCTCTGTGAGAGCCACTGAGTATCTGCTTGGATATTGCTTTGTAATTGTCTCCCTGATTCTCAGCACTAAAAGCCCTTTTCTCTCTCTCTTTGTGTGTGTGTGTGTGTGTGTGTGTGTGTGTGTGTGTGTGTGTGTGTGTGTGTGTGTGTGTGTGTGNGTGTGTGTGTGTGTGTGTGTGTGTGTGTGTGTGTGTGTGTGTGTGGATATACTACACAGAAGGCGGACATGGTTTTAGAAAACTGCAATTCACACCTGAACCCATGCAATGTGTGCTAACAGGAAGGATCTATGAGAGGAGTACATCCTCTAAATCACAGAGGTGGGCATCAGGTTTTGGCTATCTGATGTGAGAAGTGTGAGATGAAGCCATATAGCATTTTAGTTATTCAACCACRGTGAGGTCATTGCAGCAATTATAACCAATGAGGTCATTCACTCTGAAGGAAGACAATGCAATGTGCCTGTTGTGTTGAAAAAACACGACGCCCATAAGCAGAAGAGAATATCCCTGTCTCACTGAGACAACTGTAGCTATAGAACTTTCAAATTAAAATATGASCAGTTATTTTATAGCTTGAAGATTGTAAACCAAAATTATGTTAATAAAAGAAAAGCAAACTGAGAATCGAGCTTTGTGAGAAAGAAAACAAAATACTCGAAGCAATAATGCCTGTCTTCCTAAAAGCAGTGTACTTGTTTATGAGAGGTCTGACATAAGCTTGATTGTCATACATTTGCACTCTGGGATTCCCCTGGAACATAAGCAGGTTATTTAGCAAAGCCGTGACTGGAGTCAGTGAGTGAATGCTTGCAGTTTTGGCCAATGATGCTCTGTCTGCCAGCAGCACGAACAACAGCTCCAACCACAGAGGCCCCACCGGGTGCCAAAAGTGTGGTGGCTGCTTTGAATTAGGCACTGCAAGTTACAACATGCCTAAAACTTACTTTGTGGCTAAAAGGGACTTGTGTATTGCAGACGCAAACTGCATACCTACCGCTTCCTGAACCTCATCCCCGCCCGTGTCCTCTCTTTCCCTTTGCTCTTTAATCCCTGCCACATCTCCACTGCATCCTGTCCCCATGTCTCAAAGCCCATAATGTGCAATGTTGCTTCCTCTGCTGCCTTTGCAGCAGAAATGATCCATCACTACCGGTGAATAAAAACAGG